TTCTGCTGTTGTGAATTGCCATCTTGAATAAAGGAATTGCTCAAGAAAGTCTACATGCATACACTGCCTTTTTTTCGTTCCCCTGTATGTAGTAGATATATAACCGCCATCCATTATATGCGCTATTGGAATACTTCTTTAGCTCAATTGGTTGAGCGGTGGCTTACATTGTTAGGGGTCCCGGATACGAATCTTCGCTGGAACAGAAATACATTTTGGAAGGCAAATCATGCTCTCCGGTTTCAAAATAGGATTCCATTGAATCCAACTAAATAATCTACGGTTAGAGAAAATGATACCTAGCCAGGGTAAGTGATATAGATATCGTCATTATAGTATAACTTCTCTTGAGGTGGGTGTGTAGCGGTGCTTCCGCTTACATAGTAGATATATAACCGCCCTTCATTAGATACGCTATTGGAGTATTTCGTATAGCTCAGTTGGTAGCGCGGTGGCTTTCTTTGTCAGGGGTACCTGGCACGAATCCAGGCTGGTAAAGGAATTAATTCTGGAAGGCAAAGCATGCTCTCTGGTTACAAAATTTGGTCCCAACTTAAAAACCCACAGTTGTAATGTGCTACATAGCTAGGGTAAGTGATGTAAGTATCGTTATTATAGTATAATGACTCTTGAGGTGCGGGGGAAATGTAGCGGTGCTTCCCCTTACATAGTAGATACATAACCGCCACCTATTAACTGTGCTATTGGTGTATTTATTCAGCTCAGTTGATAGATGTTTGCTTACTGTGTCATCGTACCGGGTACGATTCCCGGCTGGTACAGTCATTAATTCTATAACATATGATACAGGTTGAGATCAGTGAACATATAAATAGTGAGAAAAAACCCAAGCAACTGCAGGTCACTACGCGGCGAGTAAATTCACAATATATATACTAAAGTATTTAGATAAACAGTAACGGTCATATACACCAAGAGCCAAGCAGTACTTTACGATTATTCGATTATTCACTGGGGCTCTCACTGAGTGGAAGGGGGACAATTCAATGGATTTACACAAGATTAGAAATTGGAGAGTTATGATATTGCTATGTTAACATATATATATGAACAGTTATCTCATTGACATTCGATCCACGTCTCCGTATATTCATATTATTGTATTCTACTGATTTCGTATTTCATTCGTTTTTGCGCTAACGTGTTATGGCAAGCACAGCAAAAAAAAAACTTCATTTAACAATTAAATTGCTCCTATTCACTAATGAAATTTTCAATTTGATGTTTTTAAGCTGATTCTTTATACTACTAAGGGGGTGTTTAACGACCTTGACTACTTACGAGAGTCTCGCACGGTGGTCTATCTTTATAGGATACAAATAAAAGATATAAGACTGGTAAGTTGAAAAGACTGCAATGACAAAGTATTTTAGATTACAGGTATTTCATTTTAAGAAATTCCTGTTGTACATCATCAGCTTTGCATCCTTAATAAAATTGAAAAGAAGGCTTGTGGCCAAAAATTTCTAAAGCATGTTTTTTTTTGTTTTTTTTACCTCGTAGTCACATTGTGGCAATTAACAAGGAACAAAACACACTTATCATTGCAAGTTCAAGACTAGCCCTAGCTTCTAATTGAGTGGAATTCTTAAACTTTAGATGTTGATACACTACATTTGAGATTAAATTCAGATGCAGTGTACTATCAACATATTACAGACTATAACGACGAGAGAAACAAATACTGTCATTATTTGCCTCACAATCTCATTGTAAAATAAAGAAACAATACATATATTTTGACAACTATGGGCCACAGCAAGATACACGTACCTTTTAAATAACTTGGTCGGATAAATAAATAAATAGAGGAAATAATTGCTTTTGATTGCATAAATATTTCGATAAACGAGTAAAAGTTAAATAAGACTTTCGTGCACACAGTACGATAGACCAACTCAATCGATGTAATGGAAATGAGGGCATACGGTCTACAAAAACATACTTGTTTAAACCAAAGCATTAGCATGTCAACGTTGAATACGTTTTACTACACTTTTACGACTAAAAATTTGCACAATCCCATAACTTTGATTCTACTGTCCTTTAAATTTTTGAGTGAATGTTTAGACAAAACATAGGTATATCATTAAAACCAAAGCTTAATGGCATGGGATATGCTTTGAACCTTCAATCTGCGATTTGGCCATTAATTTCAAAATATAAAATGTCAATATTTACGTATGTTAAAGCACTTTTTTTCGCTAGTAGCGTGTTGTAAATAAGAGGCTGGAAATACCAAAGGGGCATTCAAAGCTCAAAAGTCGAAGAAAAACTGAGATAAATAAAACGAAAAACGGCGAAAAGACAAACAAGTCGACAAAACACTACACAGAAAACTAAAGACTGAGCAACACAAACCCCACTAGAAACCGGTGTGAACTCATGTGGTCCGAAAGGATAAGTAGTTCCTGTTCTACATGTGGCACCCATGACGTCACGTATGTTAGTAGTTCTTACAACGGTTTACTTCAAAATATGTTACATGAGCAAATTTCTTGGAAAAAAACCTTTCTTACTTATTTGATGTTCAATTATTTTGATTATATATTAAATCGTTCTGTGGGGTGATTCGTTAATAAAGAAATTTTTTATACTTTTTTTCCTACATATATGTATAAATGAAAAGGAATGTGGGGTCCTTGAGATTTCAATTCAACGACACAAATAACAAAAATACATTTTTCAACAATTGATGGGTGTTTATAAAATATTCCATATAACCGAGTCGAAAAGATTTGTGGACACTTTTAACGGACACTATACAAGATCTACCTTAAACCCTAAATTATCCACACAAAAAAACCAAAAGCATCAAAATATGACAAAAGATAACCATGGTGAGATTCCTGACTCGGGACAGGCGCATATATTTATAAACTAGGTGTATGTAGATCTCAACCCTTCCCCTTTAATTTCGATTAATACACTAACAAGAGGTACATAAAAACATACAATAAAAATCATTAGAGGAACAAGTACTTAACTGTTTCATAACAGTCTAATAGATTTTAAAAAGGCACAAGTACAAACATAACACCAATAATCTGTTTACTACAGACATTGTTTATCAACAGTTTTTATAGCAACAATGACAAATACAATAAAATATGTTTTTAAGATGACTTTCACATCCTTAATAGATGTGGTCTTCATTTAAGTTAGATCATAAATTTTTATCGAGTTTGAAATCTAACCACATAATGACAGAAATGTAGATTGATTTAATAAAACGAAATTGAGAACAAATTAAAAATTCTGTTGAGTCTTGATTACCGTTCGTATAAAATCATGTTCAAACTTTTTTGTTTTATGTATAGTATACGGTTAAATTTTCAAAAAAGTTGTCACAGTTGTAGACCTGAACCCCGCGGTATACCAACATGAACTGATACCACGCCACAGTATTTATACGTATATATCTGTTTACTGTTAAATTACTATTCATACAATACAGTATAACACTACGACAGACAATGGGTAAAAGGCAAAGAAGAAATAAAACTCTTTCCAAATGGATTAAGACTGTGAGGTCTTTCATACAAATCAGAATTAACAAATAGGTTAAGGGGTCTAGGAACACTCGCGTTATATTTATCTCCAAAGACCTAAAATAGCCCTAACCAACTGTCCTACCTCAATGATAAGTATATGTTGTTGTGACTGTATACTAAACTCAAACAATCTCGATTTTGTATGTAAATCACATCAAATCAACCTACGAGCTTAATAAGGGAATCAGATATTGACAATTCATTTTGGAAACCAAACAAATATGTCAGGCTATCTGGATCATTGCCTTTGTTTGTGCGTTTGTTTTTATGAGATACTGGATGTTGGATGTTGGTGTTGTTCGTTGTTGTTTGTTGTGATGTCTAGGTTTTTTTTTTAATAATTCCTTCTACCCTTTTTATGTATGAAATGCTCCGTATACATTTACTATAGAGAAAATCATGAACAATCATAGGTCTCTTTTAATGTTCGTTTGGAATTTCAATTATGTTTTTTACTGTATACCCGTATTAAATAAGATAAGTAACACACTATGTTATGTTGTTGGATCTGCCAAATGCTCCTAAAAATTGTTTCCAGATTATTAATTTCTATTTTTTCAGGAATTGAAACCGGGCTTCAGAGTTACTGAGAAACTACCTATTGTATGATGTACTTGATGTGGATAGTAAACATTCCAAATATCTGTTAGAGTATATACAATCTAAATCCCTCCAGTAGATATGATAATCCAGGGATTGCGTCTTACAAGGAACCTATTGAACCAAGGTTTCTTAATGGTAAAGTTGATTTCACCTCCCAAAACTTTTACAGACGTCGTTACGATTTGGTTGACCGTCATCCAATATATGTTACACACTGTGATCTGCGACACATATTACCACATTCATATTTCACTAGAAACAATCAAGTAAAGTCTTTCTCGATTGAATTGTTTCGAAGCCGTTTCTAGCTTGCTGTATATGGTTCGAGTTTTGCGCATTGTTGAAGGCCGTACGGTGGCCTATAGTTGCTAACTTCTACGTCATTTGCTCTCTTGGTGGAGAGCTGTCCTCCTGGTGATCATGCCAAATATATTTTCCTACATTTTGATATCACCAATTGCGATTTATCATTAGTTTTAAATGCCTTGAGCAACTAGACGGGTGTAATTGATGATGCAACAACTGCTTACCCATCCGAAATACTTGAGCTACCCCTTGTTTTGTATTAAAGGGGTTCGTGTAGCTTTTGCACTAGTGCTTTATGTGTGTGGATCCGCAACACTATTTCGATGTTGGTTTGGCTATCGTTTTGTAAGCTTTTTTTCTTGATGAATTTAGAATTAATTTTTTAAGTTTCGCCAGAAAAATATTATACATTGATTTGCTTTTGCTTTTGTTTGTTGTATATGTGTGTTCCTTTTTTTCCTTCGTGTGTGTATGGTATTTCAGTTGTTCAAAAATAAATAGTAATAACTAATATAAGTAGTTGTAAATGCGTATAATCTTTAAAATGGTATAAAGTATGACTAATTATAGACATTGAGGAAAAAAGTTAAAGTTGTTTAATTTAACGACTAGCCTACAAGATCACAATTTTACAAGATTCGTAAAAGAGTGTCAAAAACTTGACAGTATAATAACAACATTAACACAATAACAAACAAAAAACAATATACAAATACAATTTATACAGCAAATGCATTACATTTTTGGAAAACACTTGTCTTTTTATAGCAAGGAGATGTTTTTAATTGCATTGGAAAGCGATTCAAATGGTTTGTACCTATTGCACTATCCATGCATACTGATTTTGTGTCATTGATGGATACCCCATATCCTTTGTTTTTCTATTATAGTATGTCACAGATTTACTATTGCACTATCCATGCATAGTATGTCACAGATTTACCTGTTTTCGTGTAACTGTTAGCACTTTTAATTTTCACATTATGAATTCAGTAAACGGAATAACTCATACTATAAGATTCATACTTAGAGTCAGTTCAAGATTTATGAAATAATATTATATATACTATATATATCTATATATAGAGAGAGAGAGGGATGAATAAAAAAGTAACTAACTTCTTATTAGTAATTTTGGTCTAAAATGTGTCAATATGTCCTAATTTGTAAATTGTCATATCGAAAGACACAAATAAAAGTTGTAATAACTTTTACCCGCTAAAATAACTTCAGAACGAGTTATGTTTGTTGTCATGTTCTAAGGAACTAAAGTCTTTTCATACAAATAATTCGAAAAACTTGGACTACATTATGAATGATAACGATAATAAAAAAAAATAAACAATGCTTGTTCAAATATGTGAAAAAGCGAATAAAATTAACAAGATTATTATCACAGTACATGGAAATACTATGACCAGGTTATTGGTCACCTCTGTCACATCATTTAGTTTCGGGGGAAACTAGCGGTATCTCAGATAAAGTCCAAGTCGCTGGAAAGTTTTCATATTTATTTCGCATCTATCTTTTTCAAACATTAAAACATAACTGAATAACAACATAAAACATATATAAAATACAATTTCAAAAGACTGATTGACATGCGGAAAAGGAACCAATCAAAATATCTTGTTATCAAATATTATAAATCGCGTTTTGTCGAAAGCGGGGATTACGGATTAAAAACATGTTTCGTATAAGTTTGTGAAGAATGGCTTTCGGCAGTTATCACTTAGTGTTAATTTATCTATATTCTTTGTTACACAATCTTTAATCATAGACACGGATATAAATCTTTGATAATTAATTCAAATGAAAGGATTATAGTTAAGTGTTAAATACAAGTAACTTTTGAATAGTGTAACATACAATGAGCTATTGAATTATTAAAAACCAATGATGACTCGGAATGACAATAAAAAGCATGAATTATAAAAATATACAAATCCTAAAAGTGAACTTTGAACGAACAATTTTCTGGTCATATTATCCCGTCGCTCCCTATCTGATACTCCCGTATCAGCATGTATAAATTAGTAACAAATAATATTTCAAAATGCATAAAGGAAAAATATAAACGAACAAATATATGTACATCTTTTTTTTTTTACAAGCGCGCTATTACGAACATTTGTCGTCTAATTTTTCTTTCTCTCTCGAAATTTCTTTACTGAAGTACATATTATTAAACCAAGTGTGTCTAAATACCAACACAAATATTTCATGAAGCAATATGTATAAAACGAACGATATGTCTAAATACAGGTATGTAATATTTGCCACTAAGCAAATAACGAATGAACACTGTGTCTTTCTCACGGAAATGTGATATTCGGATTTATATAGGTATATAAAAAATCATTAAAACATGTCATAGCATAAAATCATTGTTCTGTCAAATAAATCTGTTCCATCACTTACTCTATTTCCTCCTGGAATTAATATCAAGAATATCCCGGAGTTTCTCTCCAATTTGAACTCTGTTACTACATATTTTAAGTTTCAGGAACATTTGTCCGAACTATCTCTGTAGCACTATATACATATTATGTACACATCTTTGAATACATCTATTTGAATGTGACCATTTATCAAAATGTCGCTTATACTCGATATCTATTTCAAACAAAAACGCAAAGTGTAGATGATTTCGATACTTGAAAAAGCATTGTATCGAAAATTGTCGATAATATTGATTATAAAGTAAAAAAATATATTTGCAAGTAAATAAAATCTGAACATACTCAACTAAATATATTATGATAAGTCTCGGCTACGAATAAAAAATGCTGGTAAAAAATGGGGGGGTGTCAAACTGTTGAACTTCAAATTGAGAAAATAAGAAAATAAGACACAAGAAGCAAATACGTATAAAAAATCTTTACGATTGTAACGTGCTGTGTATCTTAAAACAAAACTTAGAAATTACAAGACACTATTTTTTCTAATGATCATGGCAAGATATATTAACTAATGTTTATGTATGTATATCATAAAGTCTCAAAGTAAATTCTTGTGATATCTTTCATCGACATTTACAATGTGTTTATATTTCAGCTTTTTTTATTTGACCTCGAACATATAAAAGTTTTTTTTTAAAAGTTTACCGCCAACAAAAATAGCACAAATTTGTCATGTAAGCTTGTTTTCTTTAATGTTCACACGGTCTGAATATCAAAATATCAAATTGATATGTATAAGATGTGGTACCATCAGGGTGTTAGCCTGTAATCCCGTGTGGTACTATTTGCCAATAATTTAGTTAGTCAGTACTGTATGTATTAAAAACAAGATTATCGTTTTTAGTTAGTATGTTTGTTGACTATCTTCTATGGATCAAGAAAACTGTTTTTAGTTGAGGTGGAGCCAATATTTGATATTAGTGATTGCTTTGATGTTTTCTTTTCAGGCGCCACTGACTTTCTAGCTTTCAAAGGAGTGGGTTTGTCTTCTTCCTCTGAGCCAACAGTGTTTATTTTCTTACATATCACTACTATGCGATAGAACTGTAAACAAAGAACAAGCACATTTTTGGCCGTAAAGAAAAGTATTCCGTAAGACAATACCCCCTTAACAATTATTGAGTACAGTCTGACAACTAAAAACGGACCATCTTGTAAAAACATAGAAATACATAAGCTCCAAATTTCGACTTCAAATACTCTATCGCAGCAACTTGGCATTTTTTCCTTTTCTTCACCCATTGGTGTATTTTCTGGGACCTCATTTTCCAGGTCAGTCTCCCTTGCAAATGTTTTACCACCGATATCCCTGGTTGAGGTTAGTATCAAACAAAACTGAAACAAGCTCAATGACCAGACTCCTAGTGTAGCATAGCTTAGGTATAAGTCTGACCTAATTTCAGGTTCTTCAAACACAACAAATAATTCCATGACGTCAGATGCTGATCCAATATAAACAAATAGCAATTGTGATAACTGGTCACGTGTAATTCGTCCTCTAGGCAACATCCATCTTGCCAGAATGAATATAAATAACATAGACTGTTCTAACACGGATACCCAAGTGTCCGCGTCAAGTTTCACTGGAAGTGTTACCTGTTAACAGAATAAAAGAAACATTAATTTTATTTAGCACCAGGCAAAGCTGGCCTTTGTCGGAGTTGACGGTTGATTGTTGGTTGCTTAACGTCCAGTGGCAAATATTTCACGCATGTTCAGGACGATTGACATAACAATTCAACTGTTGGTTTTCGTAATTGAGTTGACCATTCTACTATTTTGATTGAAGCGAGACTGATGAGTATTATGTAGACGTTTGTCTGTCGTACAAATCCATTCAGGAACATTTAAATCCTAGTATTTTTTTTAATTGCCATCGACATTTGACTTATGGTCATAGTTCAAGTAATAAATATGAAAGTTGTTTAACTGTTTCGCGGCATGCCTTTTGTACTTTTTATGATTTTTTGAAAATAATCAATACTGTGACTAGTAAATGTAGTAATTCTCTAAATGTCTTTATATCCTGAAGTAAGTTTTTTTTTATATACATAAGTGATTACTACGGCAATTATTTAATGCATTTGTTTACCTACCCCATTTATTGCAGATAGTGCCTCGTTTTGAGCATTTGTTATATTTGCTGATGCACTGATTTCTGTAAATTTCTCAAGTCTGTCAATTTCAAGTATCCATATAGCTGGTACTGTCCCCGCTAAGTAAAACAATATACAGGGACTAAACCTTAAAGAAGAAGAAAACAAGGATATATTGAAAATAACAAAAAAAAAATACTTTCAGCAGTCGTATTTTGTCGAATCGTTATCGTCATTTTTCAACTTCTCAGTTTAAACTTTATGTTGTACAAACCGTTACTATCAAAATTGCTGTAACCATCTGAATATGGTTTTAAATTTTTTTCGTTCAATCTGTTTCATATAGAAATACAGATAGTATCATAGTAAGTGTTCAAAAAAAAATAATAAACTACTGTATAACCTTAAAAAAAGCTATTTGAGTTTACTGTTTAGTTTGTGTGTCATGTTGTGATGTGCACTTTGATTGGGAAATAAATTATCCGTTTCGGAATCTATGCTTACAAAAGTAAATAAAATATGCCTTGTATTAACAAATTCATAACAAATTTATATATAAAGATGTGCTAAATATTGGAAAATGTTTTATTTTACAGATGTCGAAAAGATCATTTCAAAATGCTGCACATGCTAGAACAGTACTTTTTTTTAGTGTATTTGTAAAATACATGAAGACCGTGTTATCCATGAAACTTTGAGATTTACTTTTTTTTGTATTTGACACACATGTTATATTACTGTTGTGAAATTTGGGAACATCACGAAGCTAATATCATTGGAATGTTCAGATAAGCTTTTTAAAACGTATATTGAATTTAAAACCATCAATTGTTAATTGTGAGTTTGGTAGATACCCGGTGTTAAGTATTTAAAACCGATAATTTATTTCAAACTATTGCTATATTAGAATGGTCTTTTTTTTTTAAAGTTACATCAAAATGTTAACAACATTGAATTGTTTTTGCAAGATATAAGGAATTTTGTTACTCGCACGGGATGATAAATATGAACTCTGCGGGCGTGTTTTATTAGTCTCTTTTGTACATCCCCAGAATGTCTTCTGGTGAAGAGTCCAAAAAAAAATTAATCTGGACCTCTTCTGGAGATATTCTGTAGGAGTAGCAATAAAACACAAATTCAATTTGCCGTCGAATATAGCATTAATTTTTATGTTGGTAGTTCATTCGGTAGAAATGACTGTAATATTGCGAGCTCTGTTTTGGCATTGCTGTGATAAGTGTAAAACAAAGAAAATTGGTTGGAAGAAATCGCTTTGTTCGTGACATTTATTTTGTATGCTCTCCTGACTTAATTTTGCTAAACAAATCCGGCTTAAAGCTCATACCATTTGATTTTCAGGAATAATCTTAAACTGTACAAGAATTTGTCAATGTTTGTCTGGTATATGATCGAAAAGGACATCTTGTCTATCAATTTTTTAAAGTAAGCAAACTGATTATTTTTTTAAATAAAAGACATCGCAGAGTTCTCAAAATCTTTTTCCCTGGTGGTCCTTGATGAAAATCTGCTGGTCCTAACTATTATCTCTATTGCAAAGTACCAAAATTGTGCCGGTCCTTGTAAAATATCTACGGACTAAACCTTCGGACCACCACTTTTCGAGAATCTTAATTGTATATGTATACAAGGCATACAAGGTCATGGCTTTCTCAGACTGTTTATAACTAAATCCGTTGGTTGTGTACTGGTTGATACTTTAGACTCGGAGAACATGATTTATTTATTAGTTGTAATTGGCTTTGAACAAGCTTTCAGTAACTGAAAATACTCTTATTTAGGTGCTTTGTGTCTATTGTCTTAATGTTAGTTTCTTTTTTGTGTCTCGTTGCGATCTTTTGAATTAATCCAATTGCAAATGATTTAAATAGTTTTCTCTTATGTTGTACTGTTACACCACTGTCCCAGTTTAGGGGAGGGTTGAGCGCTCACAAACATGTTTGACCCTGTCATATTCGTTATGTGCCTGTCCTAAGTCAGGAGCCTGTAGTTCAGTGGTTGTCGTTGGTTCATGTCTGTCGACTCATATTTGATTTTTTGTAAATTGTTTTGTTATATATAATTAGGTCGTTAGTCTTTTCGTTAGAATTGTTTCACATTTTTCATGTCGGGGATTTTTATAGCCGACTATACAGTATGGGTTTTGTCATTGTTGAAGGCCGTACGGTTGCCTATAATTGCTTACATCCACTTCATTTGAACTACGGTGGATAGTTGCCTCATTGGCAATCATACCACATCTCCTTATTTTTATATCATATACCTCGTGTTTTCCTGAACATGCATGAAATATTTGTCACTGGACGTTATAAAAATAAGCAATCAACAATCAGTCAATTCAAACTCGTGTTAAATAAGGGGAAAACCATATGAATTTTTTTTTTGGGGGGGGGGGGGGGGGGGGTGGGTGGTGGGGGACAGGAGGATTTTGAATATGAATATGCTGGCCTGGTAAGAGCTGAAAAAAATATCCATACTTAGCGCCAGATTAAAATGAATAATAAATCCGCAAAAAATCCTCCTGTCCCCTCCCCGAAATATCAAATAGTCGTCCCCTTACTGTCATTGTCCGTGTAGTTCTTATATCTGTATGCATAAATTTATTAATGTCATTTAGACTAAACGACGCCATGTTTGTTATGTGCCTCTGTCGTCTAATCTACCTATTTAAAAGGAAGAGGTAGAAAAGAGACAGAAGATCTTCCCAATGCAAAAACCAGAAATGGACCAATTCTGGATCACTACCGAAGAATAAAAAAACACGCCCTTGGTTATTAGATGGAGAATTAAGACAACAGTAGATTACAGACGTTTAAATCTCAAAATCGATAAAGAAAGACAAATCAAGGTAACAAACAAAAACTAAAAACTGCGGGAATCGCATAAACTCTAAAAGGAGCGTGACTGTTTGCGTTGACAGGGTAAGCGTCTCCGGTTATGCATCCACCCCCCGCCATGCGAATCTACATCAGTCAAAATGTCAAAATCGGGACTAGGACACAATCGGTTAAATTACAGAGTAAACGACTACACTGGTATCTTATAAAGATTAAGACTTCAAAAACAGGTCAGTAGTAGAGAAGTCTTATATTTAGACGTGTAACAAACATATTGATGTGACTGCATACAACTGACACAAATATTTGATCTGCAAGATATCCAACCATGTCAACATACTAGTACATCGTTTACTGTGTTAAAGGTGACATCGAGGGACGCCGCATCACTCGATTAACGAAACCTATGTTTTATATAGAATAGTTGGTTCAGTGGTCATGGTGGTTGGATACAGTGGTCAATGAGTTGCCACATGTCACAGTGTCATTGGAGCAACTGAGAGGACACAAATGTCTTACCGCAGATCTAACATTGATGATCGTTTAAATTTGAAACGTAGTATATGTAATGTGTGGTGTCAGCCCTATATCAATTTATATGTCGGGGAACATACATACTTCATCAAAATGATGTAAAATGGAGTCGTATCAATACATGTTGATTTTCATATACAAATTAAAAACCGAACCTCGCTTTTATAATTCTGAAATATGGAAGTTCACGCAAATTAAGTATTTATAAAAGACGAGACTGCACATGTATACATCCAAGATGAAACAACACATCAAGCTGCGTTGTTAATACTGCACGATAAAACAACACATCCAGCTGCCGTTGTTAGCACTGCACGACTTGAACTAAACTTTTTCATTAATTCAATTTTTGCCAACGTTTTTAATTTTCTTATGTAAAATCTTTCCCGATTGATTCTCTCCTCCCTATAGACAAAGCAGCGGTGTCGTCAATACACCAATATCGAGTTTTTTCTGAATGAGTTCCAGCGGTTGACCCGAGGTCAATCGGCGTAAACGACACTGTCATCGAACAATCGGTTCTTACTGTGACGTAATAACATTAGCATTGTGACATACATGTAGGTTTACGGGAAAGTGCACGAAGTTTTCTATGATGGTAATAGTCAATCGATTAAGAACCGCTTAAGTGTGGTCAGGTGATGATATCAAATGTCGACTGGGAGGAAGATCTTACTTTATTCATATTCACTACGATGACCGTTCATACTTTTTTAAATGGCTGTTCTTGCTCATCAACGTACTGTGTACCACGTTTGCACTACGTAGATATACAGTATTTGTAATTTTGCGTGTAACATCACAAAATATGGTGTATTTCGTACCATTTTAGTGACTATTGAAAAACTGGGTATGCAGTATTATATTTGCTTGCAAGTCAGACATCGATTGTTACGTTATATATGATAGCATCTTATTAACACACAATGAACTCACATTGTATTGTTGCATTTTGGGGAAAAAACTTTGACACGTACAAATGCCAACAAGTTATATAAATAAGGAAAATGAATTCCGCCAAAACATTCTTCAAACACATTGACAAATTACTTATAAAATTATTGTATTTTATATTGCTGATAGGGGCATATGTGCAAGTTGATGGGTGTTTATACTCAACAAAACCTTTTTGAATGAATTGGGGAGAAGGTTATGTTTTTGGTTTAGTGTGTCTTTTTGTCCATCCCAAGGATTTCCGAAAATCAGACAAAAAAATGATAAGCAATGGGTCAATGTACTTTCAAATTTCAATATAAAAAAACTGGGGGTCATGGACCTTGTTTTTTCGTTAAAACACATTGAAATTAACGAAATTACAGTTATTTCATATGGGTTATATAAGTAAGTAAGTAAGTAAGTAATTAGTTTATTATAGTGACTTGTGAACATGTATCAATAAATATAACACAATTACAGAGCTTGTATAGTCAATGTTACACCCGCCCCATTGGACTTATACGTCACCTATTAGACTTAATAACTTTATACAATATCACTGACTAAATGTTTATATAATACTTCTCAATTAATTCAAAAGTTAAGGAAATGTTCAAATAATTAGATTAAATATATAAATAATTTAAATGTTATGGATTATACAGCAACTGACGTCTTATATGAAATGCACGAACTATATATTTTGCTAATTTTCTTATGTGGAAAGTCATTAAAAAGTTCAATTTTTCAGCATGATTCAAATCTGAGAAATTTTCCTCAGTTAAAAGCTCACCAAAAATCTTAATTCGAAATTCAATATATA